AGAAATGTCCAAATAATTGAAATATATTACATTTTATTGAACTCTTTTAATATTTCTTTAAATGGTCTTAGAACACTTGTTAAATCCAATTAGTAATTATAATGTTTTTATTTATATTTTAACTCGTATGAAAATGTCAATAAGAGATAATACTTTCTTTGTTATTACCTAACTTTTTTATTTTTATAAATGAGAATTATTTGTAGCATTAGGTCGTTCACATTTAAACTAAACTAGCAAATTAAGGAAACTAAACCATTTAAGATTTTAGGAAGTAGAGACTCTTCTCTAATAATTAGTTTTCCAAGCATACTTCTTTGTGTTGCAAATGCATAAATCTTGAGACACAATAGGCTCCATTTCAAAAACAAAAACAAAAATTGAGAAGTTCAGATGCAATTTTATTACCATACATGAGGAAACACATAAGTGTTTTTTAAACAATATTAACAACAATTATACCTGGGAAAAAGGTAATTTCAACGGCGAGAACGGGAAGATATTGGTTATAATATTTTATAGTGTATTTGGGATCTAACAAATCGCATTTTGGTTTGATACAGCTTTTAATTTTTATTCAATTTTAAGTAATCACATAACTCGAAGTTTTGTTAATACAGATCGTTTTAAATTTTTGGAATTTCTTTAGAGTACTTCCTTTGCCTGGCAACGATACTAGTCGCTTATGTTGCGTAATTTGCTGCAAAGCCTCTTGCACACTTAATAGATGCAGGCAGCAGCAACCTTTAGCCTGTTGCACGTTGCAATGTGAACCCGTTTCGTCGGCGTGCAACAGAATGTCAATCGCCTTTTATGTTAGATCAATATGTACAGCTACTTCTGAGTTTTGCAATTAACATTTGAAGTAATTGTAGTCCCGAGAAAAGTTAATTCAGACAGAAACACCCCACTCTACTTCAAAAATTCGACGAAAATTCAACTATATTAACAAAACGACGAGGAGCAGCTCTTAAGTGCCTTAGGTTCCAAGGAAGAAATTAGTTTTCAATTGAGATATTATTGTGACACAACGTTCTTGTTTCTCATGAAGCAATCTGTCAATGTTACTACATACTACATGTTTCATTATGAATGCCAATCGGATGTTATTTCTCATTAGCCCTCCACTGACTGCTATCTCTTCGTCTTTATGCTGAAATCAATTTTCAGAAATTGTGTGCTGTTTTCACGTGACTGTTTTCAAAATGACTGCAAGTCTGCATGTATTGTATCAGTTATCAGTGATGCATGTATGTGTTGTTTGTTGTGTTTAATTTTATCAATCTCAGTGTTAATCAGACAATTAAGGTTCTCGATTGCGCGTTCACAGTTGTATCGCATGTTCTTCTAGCGTCTGAAATCGACTATGGACTGTTACAACAAAAGGACATGGCGCTTTGGTTTAGTAAGGATGTTCCTGTATAATGACTGACAACTGAATTAACTTTACTAGTTTATCTATGAATAATGTGCTGGGCCGGATTAACAAAAACGGGGGCCCCGGGCAGATAACATGTGTAGGCCCTATAGGAAGTAACAAATTTTTATACTTACTATATATATTTATAAATCAAATAGTTTACATACAAAATAACAATCTATGCGATGTGAACATTTCGCACTTTTTTCTATCATTCGACAAACTTTTGTATCATTTCGTTTTTCTATAATTTCGAACAAACATCGCATTCTAAATTAATTCAAATAAGGTTAGAAAGACGATTGTCATCCATACTTGTGCGCAATCGATTTTTCACCAACCTCAGTTTAGAAAATGACATCGTCATATGTCATGACAAAATTTTCAATTGAATATCTTTTTCAGTTTTGTTTAAATTTTTGTGGGGGTCCCCAATGTGTGGGGTCCGTGGGTTACAGAAGCTGCAGACCCGCCTTGAATCCGGCCCTGACAATATGCAAAAATATAAGCAACTGTAATTGTAATTTACTATATTCATGATTGTTTCAAGAATGTCTTAGAAGTTTTGAAGAGCTCACACTATGTGTCAATTAAAAGTTTAGCATGCAAAAACAGTATTGTTTTAATAAAAAAGAGCCATCGAAATTAGAACTGAAAGTCGTCGATACTCAAATAGTAGGTGCATGTTCGCCATAAAACTCCAAATTCGACGGTATCTCTCAATCGAGCAATCAGCAATTGGCAATTGAATATCTATTACTCAGGGAAGGGCCTTCCTACAAGCGAAATAAAGAGTTGCTTAGGAATTTAGTTGCTTACGCTTGACTTAAGAGTAAATCAATGGGGGTCGCGGACCCCGAAAAAGTCATAAAATATGTTTGTATCTAATTGTTAACCAAGTAGTCTGTTGTACTAAAATGTTTGTATTTTTTAAAGTATTTGATAATCGTTATTTTTTCGGAGGGATGTTCCAAAACAATTTTACGGGAATCTAAATCAGGCCCTGGTTTTATCACAAATAATATATCAATTTTTCCATGCTTCACTTAATGTGTATGTTTCATTTATATGCATAAAGTAGGTGTATACATTTATTCACATCGGAAACCAAATAACACCAAAATATGGAGGGATGGAACGATATTGTTTATCTTTCAAATATCACGTGTGGTGCGGGTAAATATTGCGTAATCGCTCTGAAAAGGTGTTCCTCTCAGTTGTACATTTCAAATATAATGAAGAGGGAGGTCGTTGAAATTTCATAATTTCTAAAAGTAATGATCACTTAAATATGCGTGTACAACATCTGTCATTTGCGTTCAAGCATTTTTATGTGACATTACAAACACAAAAAGGAATGTGTGTCAGCTACTAGTTTTCATTATCTATATCTACTAGAGTAACAATACTACGAATCATTTTGAACTTTTGATGAAAAAAATTGCAAGAAAATTTCAGTTGTCATTAATTTTAAACCTCGAGCATTAAAGCTGTTTTTTGAATATTGCATTTTTCTCAAAGAAAGGTTTTGGTCCATCGTAATAAATGTAAATTGGCAAATCCAGAGTAGTGCTTTCGTAATAATTTTACTGTAGACATGTTAATTTTAACTCTGTGATAACGGTGACATAAAAATCTAAGATTTTGATTTTTTGAACATAGGAAAGTAAAAAAAAGTACAATCCCGAATATTGTAATTTTATACTTAGCATTGGACTATAAAAAAATCGAGATAAATACCTAAATTTCCCTTGTGTGACCAATTATCACTTTTAAAATACTTTAAGGCACCATTGTTCTTATATTTAAAACTCACTTTAAATCCTATAAATGAAATTTTCTGATTTTTTAAAAAGTTGTAATGCGACATATATTTGCAACACGCGATACAGCACGCCTTTTCTTATAATATTTTTACTTAATATTTCGATTTTTGTGCAATATTTTAATACATTGTATTACATTTACGATATCCCAAAAATCTTAATCATGTCCTCTTTTCCTAATATAATATCTTCATCCAAACAGTGTTTGCACAAACAATAGTTGTTATAAATATTAGGTTTTTCCAACAGTTATTTATTGAGTACCTACGTTCCAAAATTAATAAAATGAAAAGAAAAAAAGAAGCTGTAGAAAAGTCATTTTTAAAAACGTCTGTTTTTCGGATGTTTAACTCAAACCAAAGTTTTATTTCGACCTATATCATCGCCACATACCGTTCCTTAACGCTTATCATTTCAAAAAAAATTCTTGTGTTTAAAATCACATTCTTAATACGTTTTAATCTGCCTTATTTCGCAATAGATACCCTGACGAACCTTTCCGGATAAGATGGTAAAAGCTGTCCTAAAGTGAAATAAAATAAAACTATGACTGACTGAAAATTTAAAAATTGTTACCAACTCCCAAACTCCTTATTTCTTTAATGGCGTTATCCTTTAATTTTTTTAAATGTGTATTTCTAAAAGTTTCTAAAAGACATGGAACATTAGGTAAAACTAATTACCTGACCTTTATTTTTAATATTAACAACTCCGTTTTTATCATAACTTAACCCGATCATCGGAAAATTAATGACAACGCCTCACTGATACAGTCGTGAAAAGTAAGCAAAAGTATGCAGACCGCGAGAGTTTCAAGATGTACCCCGACAATATGCCAAACACAAGCCAATATGTAAGGAAGTGGACAAAATGTCACTAAAGAGACAGATTACTTCCGTAGCAAATAATCTTGGAAAACTGCCCATCCTTAAGAGAAACGAGCGAGTACTTTTTCAATTGAAATCACAGAGGTGGAATTTAGCAATTTCTGTTAACATTTAAATCGTTTATATCCTTAAATCCGTACTTATTCACTAGAAAACGAAACATTAAGAATATATTTTGGATATATTTGTAATATTTTGAGTATTAACATAATATAACTCATTATATTCTTACGTTTTGAAGATACACCGGCCTTTATTTAACGTAAAAATATAATCAGTTTTGTCATTAATACATATATTGATTCGAGAAACTCGATGATTTTTCTCATGTAGAGATATAAATGGAACAATGCATTTTGTTGAAATAAATACACATGAATATTATTAGTTACATCAATTTATTAATTTGGCAAATTGGTCTAATATTTCTATTGAATCAAAATTTAAGATCCGGGCTCGGGAGCTCCCCCTTGGGAATGCACGGGGCCATTTATACTTTGGTATTACTAGAGGTAACAAACTTTATGTAATTATCCATAATAATTGATTATAAATGTTTTGTTATATTATTTAAACCTATTAATCTAAAACCTTATTAAGATTAATTTCATTTATCGATTCTTCAAAAAGTACTGTACTTTCCACGAATCATTCTTTAACACTTCTATGATAGGGAAACAGATATTAAATGACCCATTACTATTAATGTCATTCTTATTCCAACTATCAAAATACTTCATTGAACTCCAAGAAAGCCTTAAAAATGTGCCAACAATGCATTCTGATGTCGCTTATTATCGCTCTTCAGGTGACTTTTTCAGCTTCATCGTATTTCAACGGTTTTGTATTAAAAAGTGTTGTGATTTGATGGACCTGTTCAGGTCTTTGTCTCCTGCCAGCGTTTCTGCCGAAACACTCAGTCCCAGCACCGGCGCGTCCCGAGCCAACTCCCTGCCCCGCCCCACCAGCCCCAGTCCGTCGGTCGTCAGCGAGAAGGCGGAGGCGGATCTTCAGGTGAGTGCTCGCACGGCCCCGGGAATGGCCGAGCTGTTGTCATTGTGCCTCCACCAATAAATAAACAATATGTTTGTGTCAAAATGCACAAGGTGTATTCATGAATTACCTTCACGTCACGATAATTAGAAATAAAGCAGTTGGAAGTTCATGGAGCGAACTCGATCTTCCCTTGATTTAGAAGGGGAACTCATGTACTATATTCCATTGTATGTTTTGATCTAATTATAAATCTTAACCAAAAATCATCAGGATAAACAAGAGAGAGAAGAAGAAGAACGGAAACGAAAAATCCAGTTGTATGTGTTCATCTCAAGATGCATTGCATATCCCTTTAATGCTAAGCAACCCACAGACATGACTCGGCGACAAACAAAAATTACAAAACAACAGCTGGAGACAATACAAGGACGCTTTCAGGTTGGTTTTGCTTAATTTTGTTTTTTCTTACACACAATTTCAACTTTGTCAGAAACTTTCTAGAATAAAATATATTTATTAACTTTGAAGTTATCCTTATTATCAAAAATGTTCATTAAATGTTAATTTCAGAGCTTCCTTAAAGGAGATACACAAATTATGGCAGACGAGGCCTTCCAAAATGCTGTACAGAGTTACTTCGATGTATTTCTTAAGTCTGAACGGGTAATGAAGATGGTACAGTCAGGTGCTTGTTCACAACACGACTTCAGGGAAGTGTTTAGGAACAATATTGAAAAACGGGTTAGGTAAGTTGGACTGCAATTTTGTAATCTTATTTTTCTTCGACGCGATGAGAAATTAATCCAAATTTTTAACATTTAGATCATTGCCTGAAATAGATGGATTAAGTAAAGAAACGGTTTTAACGTCGTGGATGGCGAAATTCGACTGTATTTTTAAAGGTGAGTATTTACTCTTTACTAATAATATCATAGCCACTCCCAACATTCCCTTCGCCTTCTTTCTGTGTATTCCCAAATTCTAATTCTTGAATGTTGCGACAAATTTATGGAAATGAAAACTCAACATTTTCTCTCTAACTACAATTATTCAAATTCCTCAAAGCAATGGCCACCGCGCCCCGGAATCGGACCTGGGCAGGGTGAGTTTTCGCCCAGTTTTTTGACCACTAGACTACCAAATCATAAATAATTAATGTATTGTACTGAACATGTTTTCGACACAATTGCCAACCGAACACCGCGACAGGGTGGTGCCAATTAAGTAAAATTGTAAATTTATCATTAAATATTTATCCAGAATAAAGGACAGGCCTAAATCATCGCTGAATACCCAGGTCACGTAGAAAAGATCCTTGCAATGATTTATATTCACTACATAAGTGTAGGATCATCCAAAGCTGTGACAGAGGGTAAACAGTTATTTACAATTTGAATATTTATTTTTTAACATGCCGTTTGAATAACATGATTTCTCTTGCTTGTTTTTCGTGCGCGAAACAGCTATTTTTTATTCTAATTAATAGTGTGCGAAACTTTACGAAGGGTAAGCAATACATCGCGTAGCATAGGCAAACATCTTTGGTGCACGGTGTGCTTAAACAAAATAGTGTACGCAACACGTGCAGGAGATGATTCGCGCACTTATTAAATAATATACTATTATAAACTCTTAGAATTTGTTTCAACCAGTAAGGGAATGCAAATCAAATGCTTTTTGATAGATTTTTAGCAGATTTCAGCCATCAGGCTGAGTCGCTTTGGCAGACCCTAGCCTCAGGAAGTTGTAGTGCCAGAGTACATACATAATACAAACATTGTTAAGTTTAAACCTTTTCACCCTAGTCTGATTAATAATTATTCTTTGGGCAGTAAGTCGTTCTTTTAATTCATAGATATTTCTGGATTCTGGCTGCTCTGCGGTCGTGCGTAGCGCGATCATTTTTCATAAGCAAAAAAAAATATTGATAAGTTGGTTTATTTCACAATTGGAATGTGCCTATACTGGATCACATTAAAGCAACAACTTTCACTAAGTAGACTAATTTTCAAAAGGACTAAAACCTATCAAACATAACTTTTTAATCCCGTTAATTCCACCAGGTTGCTAGATAAATAATCAGAATCAATCATTTAGGAGAAATTCTATTTAATTCTGACATCGGATATAGTGAACCCAAAAAGTTAGTCCCCAGAAGGAGACTTCACTACAACCGGAGTCGCCTGTATATGAATGTATGAAAATTGCTCTCTTATATGATTCTTTTGACGAATCGGAGTGACAGTCAACGTATGTGAGTGAAATTCGCAAACTTCAGTGCACCTTTTCGGGTACTACCAGCCCTCGGCTAATCCAACTCAGTAAACGGTTGAATGCGACTAACCTGTACGTTAATCGGCGGCGGATTCATTCAGCTTTCCACGACCTGAATAACTGTACCGTAGACGATCGCCGTCAAGCCTTTGTGTCAAGAACTGCTTTTGTTTATCTAAGGGGTAAGGGAATTTCTGTGGAAACGGTTTCTCGCTTAATAGGCACGTGACATGCTTATACAGCAAAATACGGAAGTTTTTGGATGAATTTAAGACACAATAATTCTCCAGATGAGAAAAATATTCTCGTTTACAGTTCATTACTGGAGTTCATCAGTGTTATTTTTGTTTAAAAGTGGCAGCATGTTGCAGTGGCGACTCCCTCAATGATTGTGGGTAGTCGGCGACCCGTATCGAGGGGTCCCCCAGCGGTTAGTTTTTTTTTTTTTTTATTGTTGTTGTTTTCGTTTCAGTGGGGAGGGGACACGCGGGACGCCTCCTCTTCGGCTCAAAGCGTGCAAAATCCCGTAGAACAGGCCTGCACAGCATTTAGCTCTTTGACTTACCTCGGGGGCAGTCTTTCACTTACCACTCGAGTGCAAATGCGGGCAGTGGGGATGACACTCATTCCAGGAGTCGGGACCACCAATGCGAATGCGCAATTAGAACCGTAGGGCATACAAGTAAATTGAAAGAGCAATAGGCGAGAATATGACGGACTGTTACATACAGTTCAAGTAATATTGCCTTTTGTTTCATATTGGAAATTGTCGATGTCGATAGATGACAATGTCCAGGATGAACCTAAAACGAATTAGACGTACATATTTGATTTGGACATCAAGTATTATAATTGCTACTAGGGCTGATAATGTAATTCGCTTTGCTACTATGTAATCACGAATTTAGGATGATCCTAATCACAAAATTGTAAACCTGAATCGTTTTTGTTTGATGTTGACCGTAATGAAGATTTTTTTTCATTATCTATGTTTAATTGAATAAGACGATTATATCGAAGATAAAAAATGTTATTCTTAAAAAATCATGATTACTTTTTGCTCTAATTTCTAACAAAAATACATTAAATATTTCGAATATCATATTAGTGAACACTATTAATACATAAACTTTTACATCGTATATAAATGGTAAACCCTTTCCTTTCTATTTAACAATACTCATAATAATCTCAGAATTGTCTGCAACAGAGAGATTTGCTAGTTGGAATTTCTTATTCAGATTCATAATGGACGGAAATGGTCACAAGTACAGTATATGGGCTGCCAAACACTACCCTTCTAGGAATTGCCTGCTATTCATTTTTATGTCAATCTTGATATGAGAGGTTGCTCTCATTATTCAAGTAGGCACATTTTTTATCGCAAAACAGATTTTAAACGAATTCGGAAGGTAAAATAAAGGGAGGCATTGGACGCCTGGGGATTCAGTTTACGTGCCACGTCGTTCCCACAGTGCAAATGACAAGCTGCTCCACTCCCAGCAAAGCTGCATACCCCCCCCCCCCCCCTTGCGCTTTCGTCGCTCTCGAGTGCAGCACGCTCTTCTGTGCAGAATGCCCGCGGAAGCAGGCGTTGTATAGACCTTCCACAGAACTTCTCGCACTCTCGTCCATAGCTCAGCTGAGCAAGTTACGTGTTTCGATACTAAATAGTTTATTTTGCCTAAGCCTAACAAACGGACCGCGATCTTTCCTTCCTTTTCCTTGTACTATCCTCGCTCCTTACTTACACACACTTACACTAATATGCACTACACTTCCACACATGCCGGGAGACCAGACGGGAGCTTAGAACTTGTCCCACCAGAGGGGCACCGCCACAGCCGGGAGATACCTAATTGAAGAAAAAACCGCTAGCTGACGGTAGGTCGGCGCCGGATCTCGCCACCCAGCCCACTGGCCGGAGAAGACCACTGGCACCTTCCTAGCAAAAACGTGCACTACACTTACGGGACTAATGTCCTTGGTTGACGCGCCCGGAATCACTAACAACCAGTCGTCATGAATAATGGTGTTATATTTTGCTTCATCGTTAATTACCTATTTTCCCAATACCTATAGTAATTCGACTCGAATCGTCTAAATTTATTCTGTCAATTCCATTCTAAATTTTAAATAAGATTAATATGGCATTTTTTAAGTTTTCGAACCCAAAAATTTAAATCCCTATTAACTTAAGATTATTTATACCTGCTTTTCATAAATCTCTTTATATTTTCTTTCTGTTGCTGTTTCAGTTGGAGATGAAGATACTAAAAGGCCGTCGAGAATGCAACAGCAATCGTTAAACGCAGAACTGATTTTATCGAAAGAACAACTTTATGACATGTTTCAACAGATATTGGGAGTAAAAAAATTTGAGCATCAGCTCTTGTTCAATGCCTTACAGGTAATGCCCTAAATAAATCGGGATATTTGTTCCTTTACTTTACAGAAAACAAACATTCCGTTAACGATAAGTTTCTGTTTTGTAGCTGGACTCTAATGACGAGCAAGCTGCTGCAATTAGAAGAGAACTTGATGGAAGAATGCAGAAGGTAGCCGAAATGGAGAAGGTAAAACTTGGATGGATTCCACTGAGTATTTAGCTAGCTTTAAGCATGTAGTAAAATGCATTGCATGAATCATTCACTACTTAAAGAACAAATCAATGCAACTTCTTTCTGGTTTAGAAAAATAGCTTTCAATTTCTAGAATAATTACAAACCAAGAACTTTCGTGCAGCATCAAAGCAAGAAAGAGCTTTTAGAAATACGAAATATTTCGCAACTACCACAATTATAACCATCAAACAATGGAAACGCTCAATACTGTATCAGAAAATAATTTTCAGATTTTACATACGAATAAGTACAGCTTCATCAATATTCCATTTAGAGCCGAACAAAATGCATTGTTACAGATCGTTCTCGCGGGTTGGGTTTTGCAGTCTCGAAGGGCGTCGCGCTTCATATCTGCTTGTGACATCTATTGTAGGTCTTAGTCAAGGCTCGCTGGTATTGCTCATTCCCGGCTGTTCTCGGTAGCATCGTTTTGTTTAAGAGAAGTGCGATGAGCTCTCTCACAAAGAGCATATTTAACATAGTTCTCTAATTACTTTCAATAATAAAATTAATTTACAACAGATTTGGTTTAATGACCTCACTTCTTTGCCTCGCGGAGATTCAATTGCACATCTATGCAGAGGTTTGCAACGAGCCTTGTTCGATTGAATTGTAATTCAGTTTTCGTCGTGGGGCATGCCATAGTAGTTGTACGCATAGTTCGGCTATCCCGGAACGTGGAATAAACACTGCGTTTAACATATTTAATTGACACGATGTACGGCATCGAGAGACGCCTCGTTTCTCACTCGTTATCCATTGTTGCCTTTTCGTCCGCCGACACGCAGGCCCACGAAGTAGTATCGTAATAATTCGCTCTCGATAATGACACTGCCGGAACTAGTATTTTCGGGCGGCGGTCTCGGCGCGATAATCTCATCGCCGAGAAGTATAGAAACCGAGTGTCTTTTATGTCCGGCTTTAATTGAAATCCTTATCCACAAAAACGCATGTAATTTCGAATTTTTTTTCACAGGGCTCTCTTGACACTTCATTCGCAACTATCCGACTCCGAATTCAAAATTAATTTGGCTGGTGGTCAGTATTCATAAATTAAGTTTTTTCTTGAAGTTATCGCCCTGTTTGGTTGATAAGTTTAATCATAAACTGTACAATTTTTTTGTAAAGGGTAACTCAAGTAAATATCCAGCATTGTTGGAAGTTTCTATTGTTCCACCAAAACTAAAATTTGTAAAAGTCTAACAGCAGAATTACATTATTTCTTTAAGTTCGTTCATTAATAAACAAGCAGTACTATCCACATTTTGATATAACTCTTTCAGTATCAATTACGATCAGATGGAATGGAAAGGAGTAAATACAAAAAGTTAAGATATATTTTAGCGCATATTTTATACAATATTTCTAATGTCAATGTAAATATATAACTTGTAGTGCTACAACAGCACACATTGCTTTGTGTTATTTTTAATGGTTACATAATATTATAATACAATTAAACCTGTGAGAGAATCCACACCTTTGAACTTGATTGCACATGTTATTGTGGTCAACGACAACTCACATCACTAAGCCACTGCTTCATTGATCCAACGCATGCCCCTGTGAGTGTTCCCATTCCACAAAAGTATATCCCTGGGTTCGGATTTGAACTTCAGCGCAAATATTCTGCTCTTATCCATTACACTACCAGTCTGAATTTATGTGTCAACGGGCCCGGCGTATACAAATTGAGTTTTTGCAATTTTCGAATTTTCAGAGGCTTTAATGAAAATCGGACCTATGCCATATTAAACGTACTTTGCTCCAGGCATGGAAAAAATAAGGGAAAAAAATTGGAACCGTGTTTGAAAAAATGCATAATATTATTTAAAGATCAAATTTCAAGACTATATTTTATTTAGAATAAATCTCTTTTCAATAATGTGATTGTAGGGGTGAAAAAAGTTAAACTCTTTGCAGTTTTTGAAAATTCAGTGATTTTGCAGGTATCTATAATTTTTATGCTTTGGTATATTCGATCGAAACATTTAATGAAAAAACTCATGGGCGATGAAGAGCTTCATTTTTCTGGTAGCAATTCATTAACCCTAGCAACACCAAGTTACAAATGCCCTGGTGCATTATCAGGGGTGGTCTACACAGCTTCCAGCTTCAATTTTCATTCTATTGAAGTATTAGATCATTTTGCTAAATTAATTAATTGTTTCATCAACAAATACACATGCTTACTCAATTTAAACAAATGTATGTTGACTTTTCAAGTACTACCATAAAAAAATATTGTTTTTTAATATGAATGATAAAACTTATTACATTTTTATCTCAAATAAAGGGCGTTGTGTCTTTATAACATAATATAATATAGTTCAATACTTATTAAGACTTAAAATTCTACAAATATTTCCAAAATATATTCTGAATAATCAGTTTTGGAGAGAATAGTTCCGAGAGTATTTGTTGTTTTCTTTTATCCCAAACCATTAACAAACACTTGTGAGAAACTGCATCATATTTCCAACAGAAAGCACATTATAAAGAATATCAATAATTTTCAGCTGCCTAAAAGAACTGAGATTTATAAAAACAATCATCAGTGGGCTTCTGAGCTCCCCTTGGTAATGCTAGATTGAAGTTTAAAACTTTATGTTTTGTAATTGCACCTATTGGTGAAATCAAGTTTTCTTTCTTGGTAAGACTAGAACACTGTGGATTGTATCCCTGCCTGGAATGCTGTGGTAATTAGCTTTTCTAAATTAACAGATATTGCGGAAAACAGCTTCTCATTACTGGTGCGATTGTCATCAAAATTCTTGAGATATTTTTTATCAATAAAATATGCAGAAGACTTTAGTGAAGAGTTCATCTTTAACCTTTTTCTTTCCTTTTGTTGAGTTTCTATTCTCATCAATGTTAATGGTTCAAAATTCCTATCAAAGCCTATGTGTCACACACTCTTACTGATTTTCAATCTTAAATCATTTTTTGTTTCCAATCTAGTGAAATTAAAAGTAAAGAAACTCATCCACTATCTCCAATTATGTTAATAAGTATAGTGAATTTACCTAACAGTATTTAATAGCAAAGCTAACTACTTTGGCACCACGTTCATCTGTTGCATATTTCTTATTGACGATTGTTACATTATTTGTGAGCGGACAGAAATTTGTGCACTATGGCTTTGTAGTGATCTACTTATCACAATTTGTAAATGAGCTATTTAAAGTGTCTTAAGCTCTCCATATAGTAACATCTGTCACATATTGTCATCTATTGTCATCAGTTGTCATTGAGAAAATTATGTATTTATACATTTTACACAATTATACATTTAAAAGTTTTCAGATTACATTATTTGGCAACCCTTGAATAGACTCTAGTAGCCTGCATTCATCTTTCAAATGTTTCAGATATTCTAATATAAGAGTTTGGAAAAAAATAGTTTTGGTCACTAGAACCAACTAAACAAAACATTTATCAGTAGACCTAAAAAACATATCATTTGCATACGTTTTGAGCAATTTAATTTCACTAAAAGGCTTGATGAGAATGTATACAACACGTGATTGATGTAACTATTTGGCTATCACATTGCATATTCATTAATGCAGATACATGCATATTGAAAGACAGCTTTTTCCCATCAAAAGTAATTAAAAGAAAACCCTAATTTTTGTATATTGCCAGCATACACAAGAATTCTTACAATATATTCAAACAAAAAATATTGTTAACAGAAAAAATGGGTACAAACGTTTTGCATTTCTACTATGAACTAAACACATTTCTTCATATTTAAATTCATATTTAATACAATGACATAATAGACTTCTTCATATTTAAATTCTCATGATTTCATCATTTTATCAATTAATTTACTTTCCTTCTCTCCCAGCTACCTTGCTTCAGTCTGTCTCTCTCACTCACACTCTCTTGCTCTCTCTCTCTTGTTCTTTCTTCTTCGTCAACTCCCACACACATCCGCTCAAACAGAAAGCCAATTATTTGATTAGCATTTCATATTATTTCAAAGAATGCAAACATTCTTTTCTTAGGTATTTTCTTCTCCTACACACTTTGGACTTTTTTTTGAGATTGGATTGAGAGAAATATTAAATAAATAAATAAATACAAATAAATAAATAAAAATAAATAAATATATAAACATTAAATGTTTATAATAATGAAACTTCAACACAGTGTTAATGAACAAAACTAAACAATAGCAATAGCATGAATTAGAAGAATCATTATTATTTCTGCAAGAATAAAATAATTTATAGGTAATTAACAGCGTTATAGTATCTCATTCCATCATTTATAGTTATTCATAAATTCAATTCTGATAGTAAAGTTATTAGTATGTTGCAATACATTTAAAGTAGTATAATAAACATCTTTTACGAGCAGTTTTCCTCTTATTAACAGGTTGGCATGATAGTAGTTTCTATAACATGCAATTTGTTATGATTTTAATTAAACTTAAAATGTTCATATGCTTTGTAGTCACCATTTGGCACAACAACCGTATATTTCAGGTTTTTGTATTAAGGATACAAAATAAATAATGTATTTTTTATATGAACATAATATCTATTGCCTTTCAGTAGAAACAATTAAGCGTTTATTTCACGTGCTATATTATCATATTGTTCTTTGGGCTTCTTTATTGTTATCTATTCTGCATTTTGCATTCATTCAATTTCAGCATGTTATTTTCAGTAGCGTTCTACAAAATCAACTCAAGAAGTTTCACCTGATATGTGAATTGAACACCTACATGACAGAACCTGCATAAACAAATATTTATGTCCAATGCATTCGTTATATTGACACTAACAATAAACAGTATGAGCAAATATTTAGGAAAGAAGAAACTGAAATCTCAAGAACAAATTCCATAGTTTTAAGGGGCAGTTGTTAGGTAGATATTTGTTATTTGTCTCCCAGCTCTCTTGAAACATTTCCAGGAAATTACATGTAAATACATTTATCATCTCACTATGATTCAGAACACCAAAAATCATGTAAAGCTCGTAGAAACAGAGGAGGGTGGGTACAATGAGACACTGCTGTTACTTATGCTTTCTTTCCTTCATTCATTTGTTCTTTCTTTATTCCCCTCGAAATAGTATTAAAATATGTGACATTAAAAAAGTTTTATATCAATTAAGGAAATATATTTAATGGCCAAGAAAGAAAATAATATTATTTGATTTAAAAATTGACTCTGTATATTAAGAAAGTATTGATTTCCCTCACACAGTGAACCAGGTGGTAACCAGTAAAATGAAAAAATGAACATGAGAAAAGTCAAGAAATGTTCACAAAATTTTAGTAGCGACTTTGAGTCATTGCTGCTTTCAAGCATTTTACTTCTTCCATTATGATTAATAATTAAATGATTTGAAAAATATTATTGGAAATGAAAGATTTTACCCTTCGGCAGTTGTTGGGCTGCTGTGTTATAGCAGTTTTAAGCAAAACACAATACCTAATTAAAAATGGTAAAGATATTTTCCTTGAAATACATAAAATATTAGAACTATCTTTTCCTGCTTCAAGATTTGTTTTGTATGAAAAAAGTGACTGTTGTAAGACACACATCTAGGATATTTTCATAGAGATTAGAATATTTGCCGGTATCAGAACAAATGTTTCCACATCCATTCACTTGGTCTTTTTAAAATTTTTCTACCCAATTATTTTTGCTGTACAAAAACATAGCCTCAGTTTATTAAAAACTGTAATGCAAGATTTCTAGTACATAGGTATATGTTGAGAATGTAAAATATAATGTAAAATATGGTAATGTAATGTTAGGTACTTATAATAATTGAATACAAAAGTTAAAAAAAAATCTAATTGTCGAATATTCTCGATACAGAATTCCTAGCAACTGCACACATGTACAGTACTGTATCCCTGAATACAGTACGAAAAGTATTCCTAATAACTGTATACATGTACTGCATTGCAAATGTTCACAAAAATGTGAGGATGATAAATACCTATGTTTGAAACCTCATTAATATATCAATTCATCAAGAATTCTGTATCATTTATAAATGCTACAAAGTGTGACCTGTAAAATCTCCTGGAATACTATCAAAACAACTTGGCAACAGCCATACCTGCTCTGTTTGAAGATTGTAAGTTCTTTCTTCACTATTCTTTGCTGCTTCATGTAGCCCCAGTTTAGACTTGATACAACATCACTGATTTACTTTCTCAAGATTATCTCTTTTAGACGACTACCTTTCAAAGAAATGTCAATAAGTTTTAAAGATCAAAAGAAGCATATATTTCTGCTTAATGCCATTAACCATTAATCAATTAAATTTTCACCCTCAAATTAAGTAAGAAATTGATACGAAGTGAATAAGTGAATATCGTAAGAAATGAAAGATAAGTGTGTTAATATTTAGAAGAAAATAATTTTAAAATTATGTTAATTGATGTTAAGTTAAAATTATTTTGAACACATCTATTTTACAAAGTGTGTGTGGTTTAAATAAATGCATAATGTTTCAAAATTTATTGGAAATTCTGAAGAAAACTGATCAAAAAAATTTAAGTATTTTTATGTTAAAAGAGAAATAACAACTGTTTTCTTAATGACTTCATTGTGTAGATTTCAAATCATTTTATAGAACTTTTCCAACATCTATGGTTTTTGATTAATTGCATGAACATTTCTGGGAATTATCAATTTTAACTTAGCTGAAATGATTTTTACTTGCATAAAATGAATGTGAATTAGAGTTTTGGCTGTCCTTAACGAACATCTCTCTTGAGTGTCCAACAGTCTGCCAAAATAATTGGAGACCATTTTCTTTGGTAGCGTCATTCCATTTCTGTGATGTCCTGATGAAAACACTTGCCATACTTGTGGTAATAGTACCTAGGTTTCCAGAGAAGAAATTAAACTCTGCAGTCCAAGATGTGTATTTTCAAAGATAATTTATATATCTATAGTTTGCAAGCACTATTTTGAAACTCCATCAAAGAAACAGCATTTACAGAATTACAGAAAACTCACCTTAAACTCTGTTTATTTACAGCTATTTACAGAATACTCTGCGTAAAAACACACGCTCAAATTCCTTTTAAGTGGAATGGGAAAATCTGGTCCATTAGTCACCTGTCACAGATTTGCTGATTCTAAAAATGGGTATTTAACATTAAGTTTGGATTTTGAACTTATTCCAAATATATTTGTCGAGCAAAAATGGCAGCTATATTTAGGAATCTTAGGTTCTTGCCATGTTATGGCATTGCAAAAGTCATACACCGATATTCTTTAACCTGTCACTTAACAGTGTTGCACATTTGGCCCAAGAGATTTCTGAGGTGCAAAATTTATTCTGGTCTATTTTGGTGTCCAAATAACACTCATGAATGCTTTTAACTCAAGAAAAGAAAGTTTGCTTCTGTACTTTGTGAAGTGAACTCACCAAAAATATAACAAAAATTACTTTTATCATTTACATATTGCAGAGACTTGTTTCCCCTCCCCTGTCCACTGCCCTTACAATTCAGTTCACAGCTAAAGAGCACACAACCTTCTTAATTTCGGAAAGTTTCTAACCACTCACAAACATTATACAGTTCTGTGAGGAAAAGTAATTGTTGTCCTCTCTGAATTCACAGACAAGTCACCTAAACAAAGTTAATTGTTGATTCAATAAATACCTTCTTGAAATTAGCACTTACAAGGAAGGGCTATCTAGACTAAAACATGAAAACAGATGTTTTAAAATTATTATTACAAAAAGTGGTTGGTGGTGAAAGATGAAAATACATAAGTATCAGTAAAAATTCTATATTTAACCAAATCACTATTGAACAGTGAAATATAATGCATTGATTTGAAAATTGGTGACAAGAGTCACAAAATAATTTTAAAGACACATAACATAAGAAAGGAAAAGAAGAGTCTCATTGTTTCCTACATCTCGTTGTTGCCCATTCTCCCCTGTAGATAAAAGATTCAACATGAGTGCCTTCTAAAGCATAATTTTTGTTTTAATAACAGAATCGGAAACTTATGCCAAAATTTGTGCTGAAAGAAATGGAATCTTTATATATAGAGGAGCTTAAATCATCCATTAATTTACTTATGGCAAACTTGGAATCTTTACCAGTTTCAAAAGGCTCCATGGATTCTAAATATGGATTACAAAAGCTGAAACGTTATAACCACAGGTAGGTAACCAGATTCTTTGACCACTTTTCTTAACATTTAAGCAAGATGCATGTGTCATGTAACATGTGACTAACGGCATGTCTATTGATGCACAAACATATGACATGATGCATGCATCATGCAAGATGCATCATGAAGCATGCATATTATAGTTCAATTAAAATGCATAGTAATAATTGTTGTTAAAGCAGTAGAAAAGTAGATATAGCTGGAGCTGTAATATGCGCAAATATTTCTTTTCAAGAAGTATTTTTCACTGCTTGAACAGTATAAATTCGTCAGCAACAGCATCTAATGTGTTGTGAAGTTCATTTATAATACATTTTAAATTATGCAATATACTCTTGTGTTGACCTTATTTTGTTCCCCCAAAAAATGAACATTCATATTTGCTTTACCTAAGATTTGTAGATTGATTCACTTTCATCTATTAATTTTTGTGACAGTAAAATTCACTTTCTTCATTCAAGGATTTTCCTTAAGTTTTATATGGATGAAAACATTTTTAGATACTAGCTGCATTTTTTTTATAAATCTAGTAATGAGTTTATTAGGTCTGAAGTTTATGAAGTCCCAGTTTATGAGGAAAAGGAAATGACCAATAAAAAAATACGTAAACATTGAAATGCAGATTTATGAAATGGCCATAAACTTTTCAAGGATTTAATCTAAAATAAAAATGAGATCTTTGATGTGAACAGGAACAGTTTTAATTATTAGAAGCTTAAATTCTTTATTTGATCTGTGATTTACTTTTAGTAGCAGTAATATCGATGGCTTTAAATTCTTTAATCTCTCATAAATGTGTTTCGATTCATTCTAAAATCAAATGTTTTTCAGTTCCTTTAGAATTCAGAATTCATAAGAGGCACTAAAATAGTTGAACATACTACATATATGTAACAAAAGCCAACTTGTTAAATAATATATTTATTACTTATTTGTATATTGAAAGATTTGTTTTATTTTCATATTTATTTTAGTTATACATGTTCAATATTTAAAATTTATTAGGGATCCCATAATTTAGACATGTTTAGGGTCCCTGAACCTACTAATCCTGTCCTGCACACCACCACATCGTAGTTCTCAACGCTCTAAGGTGAGAGCACTATAGAAAGGAGCTGCTATGTGGTTTGACCAGTGGCGTAATTCGGCAGGGGCAGGGGGGCAATCTGCCCTGGGTGACATCATTTTACGGGTGACACTAGTTTTAACATTTTCTAGTGGGAATCATATAATTTTAAAATGATATTTTTATAAAAGCATGTATTTATACTTTGTTTTAAATTATTTATAGTTCAATTATTCTCAATTACATAGTTTTTCAATATAATATAAATAATTTTCTGGTGCAAATATTTTTATTAAATAATTTATAAACTATTCAGTAATAGATATTTTAATATGTAATTTATAGGGGGGAGAGGATACCATTAGTTTTGCTTTGGGTGACACCTACTGAAACTACACCACTGGGTCTGAACATTCTGCACAACACCCCAGAAGTCAAGTCAAAGGGCATTTCAAGATATAGCTTCAGCTTCCTTCAATGTATACTCTCTTCTTATTGTATTTAGGGATTTTAAGCTAATTACTCAATTCACTACTTAAATAGAGCTCCTTGAAAATACACTAGTGAGCACTGCCAGATATTTAAAAAATTCTGAATCCATATGAGGCACCAAAACTTTAGAACATGCTACATATATGAGACAATTCTAGTTAAAAATTATAACTCTCGATATTTGTTTACACATTTTTAGCATCTACCATACACTAAACATCCTCTGTACTAACACAAAATGTCTCTGGTAATCCCTGGGAAACATACCTGCCTCAGATACCCAATTTCGTGGATTCGATCCCATCAAACGCAGTACATTTTTCCTGCATTAAAATCAAGGAACGCACATGCTAGTGATTCTAAGGCATGTTAAAGATTTTCATTGAGAGTTCAGATTGATGGGTGGATGAATGTAGATAAGGTTTTCAGCAATAAATTCATGCGTAAAAATATAAGCTAGTATTCTCTGGAGCAGGTTACCCACACCAGGTATGAAATCTCATGGAAGGAACTGGTGTTTTGACTAAGACAGAGTGACAAAGCATAAATCTTTACAAATATGAGAATATATTTAGAGCTGACACAATGAACTTTGAATAAATTATGTATAATGCAAACAATTCAAAGAAAATTCTTAATAAAGATTCTAGTTATCTTTTCATATTGATTTTAGTTATACATGTTCCACATTTCAAATTTATTAGGGGCCCATTTAGACATGTTTAGGGCCCCTAATGTTCCTGCTCTTCTTTATGTAACATAATTACATATCATATGTAATAACTACATATCTTGCGTTAAGTACAGCTAGACATATTACAATATTTTGATACTTTTCATTTCTTTATTCATTCAGATTTCCATATTTGAAGGGTGGTCACTGTATAATCTTCCTTTCCTTTGTCTCTTCTAAGTAGAGAGAGGCTTTTATAAAGCTTCGGCATTTGATTACCCAAGCCTTAAAAATTACCTCAAGAGTAAATTCTATAATTTTTCTACCTTATTGTAATACATTTTTGCAGTGTTCTACTTACTTCCTAATGACATGAAAATATTAGAGACACATTTTACATTATCACAAGAAAAATTCTCTTGCAAAGTTTTTTTTTTTTTTTCCTTCCCAAATAGAATGAGTGAGGCTGGATGATAAAAAACCTGTCTCGTTCTCTATCACTGTCACTTTCTTTATCTGTCTCTTCCTCTTTTTCTCTCCCGCTATACCTGTCAGCCTCTCCATCTATATTAATTTACCTGTCTCTCTACCTATTTATCTTTCTATCTGTCTGTCTCTGTCTCTGTCTCTGTCTTTGTCTATTTGTCTCTGTATCTGACTGTGTCTGTGTCTCTGTCTCTCTGTCTGCCTGTCTCTGTCTCTCTGTCCGCCTGTCTCTGTCTGTCTGTCTGTCTGTGTGTCACTGCCTGCCTGCCTGTCTGTCTGTCTGTCTGTCTGTCTGTCTGTCTGACTCTGTCTGTCTCTGTCTGTCTGTCTGTCTGTCTGTCTGTCTCTGTCTGTCTCTGTCTGTCTCTGTTCTGTCTCTGTCTGTCTCTGTCTGTCTCTGTCTGTCTGTCTCTGTCTGTCTCTGTCTGTCTCTGTCTGTCTGTCTGTGTCTGTCTGTGTCTGTCTGTCTCTGTCTGTCTAGCTCTGTCTTGTCTATCTCTGTCACTTGGAGACTTACAAATTTAAGAATTATTATGAAATGTAGTGTTAAGATAATCTTTAAAACCGACTCAAAGAACTGTATATTCATTTATTTTGAGAAAATTAAATGTTAAATTTAGTGCAAAAGGATCGTAGGGTATAGTACCCATTTTGTCCCCTCGGCTATTTCTCCCTAACATGAAATCGAAGCTACACAAATATCTAGAAAAAAAATTTCAGCCAGGAGCATTTGACTAGTGTCCTGGTAGTCACAAACGGTTTCTGATAAAAAAATGAAACAAATCAGTATCTAAAATTACTCATTTTCCTGCTTTCAAAAATGCGTTCCTAATTTTCTCCCAAAAATGTATCAAGTGAGAAGGCCAAAAACATGTCTAAGACAAACTCTTATAATTGTACTAGTTCGTATTTGATATAAAAAATTAAATTTATTTACAAAATTTAATCCAATTCAAATTTGAATCCACTGAGCAGTTCATTTAACCATGAGCCATAATAATGTTGCAAAGTGTTCGGCAGTAATATCACTCATTGCATTGCAAAAATTTGAAATTGCATTAATTGAGTTTTTAAAAAGCCATATTTGTGTAAGAAAAGCCAAAAAAGCCAAATGTGTTATCGAATTATTATTAGAAAGTTACATTTAGAATAACTTCCAGATATTAAATGTATCTGTTCCAGTTCTCTTGTCTTTAAATGTCTATTTTTTGTTGTAATATTGACTTGAAGATGGGATGTATGAGTGCCTGAATATTAAACTTTTTCTCTTTTTAATGAATTTGGACCTCTAAATGCTCTTTAAAAAAATAATAAAATATTAAAAGAAGCAAAGACACACAGGATACTCCACTCACATATCTCTTTTGCTCATAATTCCATACCTAGCTCCATTTCTTTTGAGTACCTTACTGTTCCTTGCCAGGGTTTATTAGAACATATTGTTTACACTTCAGGAACTTTTCTGTCATTTAAGCCCTGCTGCTGAAATCAATGGTTCATATTGGGATCCTAGAAGTTGTAATACTGACTGAGCTTACAGAGGTGGCCAAATTATTAGACTAGAGTAATTGAATAAGACAATATATATTTGCGACTGCAGATATTGACACACTCTGTGTACAGGGTTCTAATGTTTTATAATTAACATATTTGTTCTGACATATGTCAAAAATCAATTTTTAATCCATTCTTTCAATTTGAGTATCATTTTGAGATGCAAATGAGTTGTTTTATGAGCTGGTTTTGATGGCCTTCTTTTCTTAAGTTTCTTTTAACTATCTAACAAACATTTTTGATGGGATTCATGTCAGGGCTGTTTGCAGCCCATTTGAACTCAGACTAAACAATGTCTTGAAGATGTTTTGGAACTTTATTTCCTGTTGTGATAGGGAGCATTGTCATTGTTTGTTTTTGTAAACTCGTTTATGTGAAGGAATCATTGGTTCTTTAGGACCTCTAAGTATTGGTCATGCATCATTGTACCATTAACTGTGTATGCATTTCCAATAGTATTAACAAACAATACACTTCAAACAGTTACTTCGTCAGGTGCTTCTCAGAACTCTGTCGAAGACAAAATATTTAGTCTAATAACTTGGCCACCTCTGTGACTCAGTGCCAGCATTGCCGTCTGCAGTAACAAGAAAGTCCGAGTGTTCGAGTCCCGACGGTGACGGATTCTCGACTGATATAGCTAGCTAGGTCGAATTCAACCGTTGCCTGGAGGAGAATTCTAGCGGTCGCCTGCTCTGATCGGTAGTTTTCCGTGGATT